AATACATTTATGAAAATATAATGTACGTACACAAGAATAAACGTAGTTTTGCAAAAATAAGTGATATTTAATCTGTAAATACTAGGAACAGACACAAGCTAGTAGTACCAGTTACTCGACTCCACCGAGTCAGTATTTCATTCTTGGGGCGATGTATACGTTTTTACAACAAAATTCCAGAAAATGTACAAAATTTGTCATACGCAAAGTTCAAAAATATTATTAAACTTTGTATAAAAAGGGATATTATAATATTAAGGAATTTATGGATGATAATAACCCCTGGGAAGGGTGATCGCTACCAAGCTATTTCTAATTTGTCTTGTGTTGTTAATTGTAAACATGATTGTAAGCTATTATTTGAAAAAAAAAATTGTCCCGCTGGGTGTCTTGCTGGTTCTTTCCAGGACCGAGATTTTTTGCGAACCAGTGGTAAATGAAAAAATTGACTTTCAATAAGTATTGTATCTACATTGAATAAAAAGTTTCTGTTTCTGTTACTATATAAAAATTATTTTTTTATTTCTAATTCTGTTTGAGGAATTTCCAATATGTCATTTTTTATCGGTATTTGTTTAATCCATTCGGGGCCAGCCCACCAAATATCTTGATTAGATAATTCATACCCTTTAATTCCTCTTGTATCTAGATTAGCCGGGTTGTCAGAAGATTGGACATAGTTCCAGTGATTGTTGTCAAGTATTCGTATTATCTCAGCTCTTATTTGATACAAATGTTCGCCACCGGCTTGGTTCCGATTGTAACCATGATAGAACTATCATTGAGCCGGACAAAGCAAAAATTCTTTCTTTAGGGATGGATAATACATTTACTACATCACTCATGCGTGTTTGTAGTAAAGCTGCAGTACTTAATTCCAATTTTGGAACAGATATTTGCTTCAAAGGTGCAACCTTAGTCCTCGATGCAATTATCATTAAATGTTAGTACATCAGTACTTGTTAATACACATTACATAACTGCAGCATATGCGTTCACTGATGCATCCGTAAATCCATGTATTTCCATGTATTCACCATCCCAACCTAAGTTACAGATCCACAATATTTTGTATTAATATTTTTGCTGTTATTACTACTGGAGACAACCAACCAAGTGGGTGAATCAGGTGAGCCACATCGGAGAGGACTGATCTTTTTGTTATAGGGCCCTGTACTTCAGGTAAGTTTACAGTTATTTTAAATTTATCGTCTTTTCTACATGTCAAACCTAAAATTATTATAAACTTGTCTAGTTTTACATCAAATTTTTCTCTCATAGTACATTCCCTCTATTTTACAAACTCTAATACTTCTTCACAATTGCTGGATCATTTTTCGCACATTCCTTTCGTTCTTTCTATATTTTCATTCCCAGACATTAAATAATCTACGTAAAAAAGATTTTTTATTACAGATGCAGTGTTAGGATATTATTACACTTGTTCCTTGGCTAGCTGATATAATGTTCTTACAGCAAGGTAAGGTCCAGCAACGCTGCCAAAGGTAACTGTCATTAGTTTGTAGCTTTTAACTTCTTCGTTTTCTTTGATTCGCCACACTATACATTTGTAAGTTTGTGTGGTCTTCTGTCACTCTGATTTGCCTGTACATTTTGATTATATCACCGATCACGCAAACTTTATATATTCTCCACCTGATGATTATACTACGAGGATCTGGTTGTAAAGCGGGTCCTATCATCATACAGACATTTAATGAGTAACCACCGGTACATTTTGCAGAGGCATCAAAGACTGCTTTGATTTTTGTAATATTTTTGTCTTTATTCTAGTAGTCTAGTTTAGTATCTTTGTCTGATAATAAATTGCATTTTCATGATTTTCGTCTTCAAATCTCAACATGTGTTCCAACCGTAATTATTCGTGTATTACTTCCCTATATGCAATTTTCAATTTTTCATTTTCCAAATCGTTTTTCTAGAAACTCCAGTCGAGTGATTGCCAGCTTCTTCGTGACTCTGTACATCCTTACTCTATATTCATAACCTTGTTTTAACCGTAACTGTACTACATATCTTCCTGTTTCATCTCTAGTAGTTGTATTTTTGTGTATTTCTTTACATTTAGTTTCTTCTTTACTTAACATTTTCTTGCTACTATAATCAACATCTATCTCCCAGAACTTTTTCACTAGACTATTGGTTTCATCATCCAAACCTGTGATATATAGGCTTGTTGTTAGCCGTAAACTACTTACTGACTCGCTAACGCTTCCTCCTAAAATCGACTAATTCATCTGGACCTCTTATCAAAGTTGAGACAAATATTTTACAAAAATCATCAGCACCGAGATGTACTGGAGGTGTTCTACTCGGCGTATAAAAATTGAGAACAGCTAATTTCAAAGTATTTAGCTGAGGCCAACCAAATTTTTATTTCTTTAGCAGGTAACCTACGACTCAATTATTTAAGCATATATGTTTTTATTTTGAAGAAAAGTTTGATGCATATTTTGACTAACTATCAATTCTGCCATGTGATTGATACATATTCTACCTTCCCCTCCTACACCAGACAACACGCTATTGATGTTAGTTCTTCTTAAACACAATAAGTCAATAACTCGTGAGGCAACGAATGAAGCCTCTGAAACCTGTTCAATAAGTGCACGGAAGACATGTGTTGATGTGTTGTGTACCATTGCTGTTGCCAGTAAAATCCTTTGACCAGGTTGTTCCTTAGACATATGCGCTATTACTTTTATCTCCGTCCCATCTTGTTGCCTTGAAATAGGTTCGTCTATTGTCCATCCTTTCATCAGTCGTCAAATACTTTGTATCATTCTGTAATAAAACAAATTTTAAAAGTTCAATTTGCTATGCATAATTCTCTCCTGTAATAGCAAATTATCATAATAATACTTACTTCGACCATCTCCTTTTAAATTGCTCTTTAGATAGTGCAACTTTTGAACGTCTTCAAGGGTATCGTTTCTATGAATAAGTGCAAAGAACAAATCGTGGAACGATTGCCATTCGGCTTAATTGCTACTGAATATAGGTATTGTGATTCTCGGCAACTTCGTATCATTCGGTCAACAATCAACATACCCTTTATTGTGCTTTATTTTCAGTATCCATATTTGGTTGCAATTTTTGTAAAGCATTTCGTGATTCTCCTTTGTATGTATAATATAATTTCTCGAAATTATCATTATAAAAAAAATAACAGGACTTTCGTTCTTTCTTCGAGGTTTCTTGTATGATTTTTTGATGCAAACACTTAAAATCCTTCCAATAAACTTCTAAGGAATTCAATCTAGACGTTACGTAGCCTACTGTAATTCTTTCTTTTAGCGCCTTTTTAAAATTTGCATAAGCCATTTGTGTATCCACAGGGGGTGCTAAGAATCTCCGATGGAGGTTCGATTGCCACCTACGACGACTCGACCTGGCAACATATAACGCACGCACCCTGAAGACTGACGAGAAAATACTGGAGCTGAAAGAAGTGATAGACAAGTTGCGCCGGCATATTATTGGATTATCCGAGGTCCGAAGAGAGGGGAGGACACGGTAATCCTCGAGTCCAGCAACTTGTTCTATCACCGAGAAGGCGACCATCTGTCCCAAGGAGGGGTCGGATTTATCGTCCACAAGTGTCTCGTCAACAACGTTGTGAATATTGAGAGTGTGTCGCGAGGGTCGCGTACCTGATATTCAGAATTGCCAAACGGTATTTATTGAAGGTCATACAGGTTTACGCACCAACCTCGGCACATCCCGATGAGGAGGTAGAGGAAATGTATGAGGATATTTCTAGAGCCATGCATTCCTCCAAAAACCCACTATACGTTGTTGATGGGAGACTTCAACGCAAAACTAGGCACAAGAGAGAGCGGTGAGCTGAAGTTAGGTAAATTTGGAATAGGGCAATGGAACCGTAGGGGCCTGCAGCTGCCCGACTTCATGGAGAAAGAGGGACTCTTTATAATGCACTCTTTCTTACAGAAGGAGCCTTACAGGAAGTGGACCTGGTCGAGCCCCGACGGTCCGACAAAAAATGATATTGACTTCATTATGACGACCAGATGCCAACTGTTGAGTGATGTCTCAGTGATCGCGAGGGTGAAAACTGGCAGCAATCATCGAATAGTTAGAGGCAAGATAATGAAAAGAAACTCCCTATCTTTATTTGGTTATAAGATTTTAATTTTTTACATTAATTTGTCAAACTACTTAGCAAATAAAACTGTACAATGTGAGTTATAAAAAAAAATCAGAAAAATTCAGAATTCAATATAAGCGCCTGCATTTTCTACCAGTTTTTGCAAACGTCTTGGAATATCTGCTACGGACTTTTGTAGATAGTGTTGAGGTACATTTGTTAGAACTTGCTGAATTCTTACTTCCAGTTCATCGAAAGTGCTAGGTTTTGAGCGAAAGGTTTAACCTTTGGCCAACCCCACAGGAAAAAATCGCAAGGCGTGAGATCCGGACTACGAGCAGGCCATTCGTGTGGTCCGCGACGACCTAACCAGCGCCCTGGGAAGCGGTTATCCAGCCATTGTCAGCCATTTGATGCGAAATGCGGTGGAGCTCCATCTTGCATATATATCATATTTTCAATGTTATCAAACGTTGACAAAGCTGGTCAAACTCTTTTTTCGAGCATGTTGAGATAGCGCTCTCCATTCGTTGTTTACCCTTAATAATTAACTTGACTTGATGTCATACCACACCAAACTGTTACCTTGGAATGGTTTTGCATTTTCTGAGCAGTTATTTTGGGGTCAAACTCTGTCCAATAATGACAGTTATGATGGATAACAAAGCCCACAACAATTGCTTCGTCAGTCCAGACAATGTTATCAAATAGTTCTGACCAATCTCCATGCCATCCAAGCATAATCTCTCCATATTCCATCCGGCGATCACAGTCCTCTGGAGTTATTTCATGCCAGTAATGTGACTTCCAAGGACGAAAGCTGAGAGAGTTAAGGGCTGTCATTACAGTGTGCCGTGTAGGTCCGCTCTCACTAGCTGCTTGACGTGTTGACTTGTAGGGGCTTCTTGTGAACATCTCTCGAACTCTCGTCTGATCTTGATGTTGAGGGACGGCCGGTTCTTTTGCTATCTGCCAATGATCCAGTGTTCATCAACTTTGAATGACAGTTTTTAATAGTTTTTGGATCCAAACCAGCATGAAGTCCGTTGAAATTCCGCCACCACGTTTGCACTTCCACTATTGATTGCCACACTTCGTAGCGAGAGGCAATTTGCACTCGCCCTTGCATTGACAATCTCCCTTGAGCCATTTTATAATGTTTTACCTAATTCTCAATCTGGAAAGAAAAAAATTACATAAGATTATATGAATTTGGCTAAAGCTGGTAAGGTTTACAACCAAATAAAGATAGGGAGTTACTTTTCAACCACCCAGTATATCTATTTGGATTTTTTTTAATGGAATTTAGCCCACCAACGATTATTTTATTTATTTTTGAGTTGTATGCCTATATTTTTCATTTATGCCGGAACTTACTATGTTTTGTTTTAATTTTTTCAAGCACAATTTTTTATCATCTTTTGTTTTTTAAAATCGTATCTTTGCGGTTATATTTAGCTCTACTTTTTTGGTCTTTGTTACTTGGAATGTAGCTCTCACTAGAGCTTGACGATGATCGCTTGGTTTGTTTGAATGATTAATAATTTTAATATCTGTAAATTGCTCTTTGGTGTTAGATAAAATATAATCTAAATGGCTTTTTGCCCCTTTTGGTGAAAGACACGTCCACATATTGACAGTTTTCTCTTTAAACATGCTGTTGATAATAGTAAGGTTATTTTAAAATGCAAATTGTATTGGTTTTGCGCCGTTTTGTTCCTTTTACGGATCAGGATCAGGATGACGGTTTAGTTGCTTTGTTCTAGAGTTTCCCGAAGTTGATCATAAAAAATTGTTATGTCGCTGTCTTTGGATTTGCTAATAGGCGCATACACTTGGATAATGGAGATAAACCTAATATCAAATTAAAAAAAATACGATCTGGGTATTTAACGAACTAGCATATACGAGATGATAATATCACCATCTATCATAAGCCATGAAATTAGTCTGACCTTATAGGTTCTAAGGCCTGAAGGGTTCTCTTACTCCATCACACTAGATACGTCAATGTTAAGCAAGCACTCGCAGCACTTCGGCTTGCACCTAAATAATTGGTTATTCAGTCTGATGGCTTTAATGTTGTCCAATCCTTTTGATTTATGTCTACCTTTCTTATGGCATAAGGGTTTGATCATGTTCTGTGCATGATGAACCTGTGATCAGGGGAGTGAGTATACGTTTGCACATACTTTTGTGACACATTTATAGCTCCTGCACAGCTACTACACCTGCAGTTTTTTGTACGTGGCTGACTTTTTGTACATGGTAGAGCGACTATGTGTCATGAGTCAGCTTGATTACAGGAGTATCTGGAAATTGCAGCATATTGCTGTGGGGCGTATGATGAGTGTACAGATCCGGGAACTTTATTACTGACATTGCATGACATCTCATCTGAATTTTGATTCTTAATCAGTGATATATGAAGGTGTCCATGAACCACCATATTTACTCACAATCAGATGGACTGTGTGCTCGTTCCTCATCCTTACTTCTCTAAAAAAATTATTATCGGGGAAATCGATCAGAAATTTACATTCTGGTCATTAGAACAGATATCTCATAAGTTAAAAATGAAATATCTATGAGAATGGTTACTTTTGTTCCTAAACGTAAATTTGAAAAAAGGTTTCAGTTTATATTAGTTTTTTTTTAAATTGGCATATAAAAACTTCAGATCTGTTGGCTAATTCACTGCACATAATAATCAGCATGTTATCTTTGTGTATAAACCTTTCTTAAAACAGAAACACAGACAAAAAAGTTAAAATTTGCGCACAAAAAAAGATCAACTTGTCGTTCCTCTTTGATAGTAATATAGAGACCGTCTTTTGATCTTTTGATTTAATTCAATAAGTTTTTATTTATGTTGATGGACAACGCTAAAGTACATATTACATAGGAATGTACATATGAACAACGCGTCTTTTATATTATCGTTAGTAATAAATAATATTGGATAAAATTACTTTTAAGGATTTTATCGCATTTAATTTGCTTAATTTTGATACCCGACTTTTCGGGTGATTTCCAACACCCATGGTCACGGGGGACTCGAGTCGAGTGTTAAAATTAAGCAAATAAAACGCGATAAAATCCGTAAAAGTGTTTTTGTTCAATATTATTAAGTGTGTAGTGTAGCGTTTATTGTGTAGTGTTCGCGTAAATATGAGAAATCATTATGTAAACCAGTATGGATTGAAGATAGCAAATAAATAATATTATATTTTGAAATACAGCAGTATGATATCATTATTATAACTAAATACTACGTAATACGTATGATGTTATTCCACTAAGAAATACTATAATGAAAAATAATTACTTTAAAATGTATAGTTAAGGTTAAGGGTCAAACATGCTGATTTATTGTTGGTATCAATATGGTTTAAAACAAATAAAATGGTTGCAAAAATGATGTTCCAAGATAGCTGCAAAACTACATTACAACACATATTTTGTTGTTTCCATAATATTGGTTATATTACGGAGAATAATCGTAAAAAATATAAAAGTAGCTTCTTTTTATAATAACTTGAGTAATTTAGATAAAATTATCAGATTTAAATTTGTAGAATGTTTAAATTATAAGACTTTTTGGCTTTGACATAATTATTATTAGTATGAGGTACGTATATATCGAGTGTGTTTTTCTAACAAAGTTTTTTTAACTATCATGAACTTATTTGCTTTATCTTATATCATTTTATATTATCATAACCTTACATTTATAAAATATTCCTACACAACTCATAAATCCATCAAACCTTTCTTCATATCAGTAAGTCGTATCTAAGAAGTTATTTTCCCACAGACGTCTCCAGTCTCCACAGACGGTACTGTCTCTTGTGCCGCAATTCCGGGGAGCGACGCCCTCATCTCAGCATAAAGAAACAACAAAACGTCTGAATGCGAGGGTTGTTAGGCAATAAATCAACCGCACGTCATAAATATAGGGCTCCCTTTTTAGGGTAAGAAGTGTCGCATTTTCCAAGTCATAACGCGACTCTCTAATGCAGTCTTTCAATGCGGTGTATCCCGGGACTCTACGTTTGCGGTGAATTGCGAAGCCCGGAATTCCACGGCGTGCTCAATTAAGTTTGGAAGTCGTATATTCTAATAAGGCGAGGGTATTAAAATGGATTGGTTCGGATTGATGTACGTTTGTTTAGATTACGCTTAAATTATTACCACAGAGAGCGAACGAATGGAAGTTAAGTCTTCTTTAACATTTTTTAATATCACATCGAAGGAATAGTAAGGGGCTTACTCAACTTAATTATAACTTTTATCGACTTTGTAACGGCTAAGCATTTAGTTGTGGGTTGAGTTCGAATCCCACACGGAACAGTCTGTCTGACTGTTTATCCATGAACAAATTATCCATCTAAAATGCTTCCACGATGATGAAGAAACCCAGTATGGAGGACAGGGGTAAGGTTTTTTCTAAAAGAAAAAAAAAATGCAACCAATAACTATAAAAACGGGTATAGCACTTAGTTGTTTGTCATTGTCCGCCAACACACCAGCTTAGTAGGCGTCTTAGGGCAGCAAATTTTGTCCTATAAAATATTTAATACACTAAATATATGTACAAATGTATGTTATCTGTTGGTGAGTTAGACACATAAATCTTACAATGATCTTCGTGTCCAATATAACAATATCTTCTGGGTGGTGTTGGGGCTGCCTCGATTTTGTAGAGCACCAATAGGATGCTTGCTGACGGATGCACTGATGATTTTTATGTCATCAGACGAAAAAGGACGGCGTTCTCATTGACCAGAAATCGATTGTGTCGTAACGGCATTTTGAAGACAATTTAATATGTAAAGATGGGCTGTTCTATTCTAAAATTCTGGATTAGGCAATTTTGAGTAGGCGAAGCTATTTGAAAATGAATGGTTTCATTTTTCTATAATATAAAATACTTATTATTAACATGACCGTGTAGTGGTGGCGTAAGGGCCATATCATCCCGTGGGTGTCGTAAGAGGCGACAGAGGGAAACATATCAGGAGATGGTCAGCGAATGGGAGAGAATTATTACAATAGCTACTAGAAATTTACTAATATGATTTTTAAAAAAAAACGTTACCCCTACACTAGGATTTTCTCATGTATCGTGGGGGCAGTTTAGAAACATAAATTGCACAAGAACAAACATCCAGATCTGGAACAAATATTTGTAGGCCATACAAATACTTGTTCCGTGCGGGATGCGAACCTGCGACCCTCAGCGCAGCCACTCATATTGCTAAGCCATTGCCCACGGAGTCGTCGTTTGATTTGATTACTTTTACTTTTTTATTACTTTTTTATACATAAATTATTAGTAATCTTATTAATTAACATTACTAATATTCCTTTTAACCACTCCTGGTAAGCTTGAAACGCTTGTGTTAGGAGTGGTTCACGACAGTAGTCAAATGGTGGATTCGAACCCACGACCTTTTGAGTTCGCGATCCGCGCCCTGCCATTAGGCTACTGTATATTTAACTACTAAGGATTATTTTCTAAAATAAATGATCGGAAATAATAAATCTAAATATGTAATGATATGTAATAGACATTGCAAAATTTCTCTAAGATATAAGTTGAGCTATTGTTCTAATAGGTTTAAAAACAGAGTGGAGGTGTTGTTGTGACTTTCCTGACACAGCATTCAAATTACAATCAATTTTTTATCTTATCCTAAAACTGTTACAGTTATAGTAGTTAGTGCAGCTTTATTCGCTTTTCTATCACTTAAACAGCAGTAAAGGAAAATTTAGTAAGATCTTTATCAAAAAAACAAAAGACATTACTCACCGAGGATGTGTGAAGTTCATCAGTTCTCATGCTACCATGTTAACTCTTGTGACTATATGTAAAGCTATAGACATACAGACAAACAATTCATTCATTATTAATGTATTGCAGCCTTTAAAAAGTCCACTGTTAAACATAGGCCTTCCGTGGTAGAGCCATGCTGCAGCTTTACGTGGTAGAGCAATGCTGCGGCTTTATTATAGTTGTAGCACGAATGGGTTGGCTCGACCGGGGCAGGACTACGCTTTCACAGAATACCAGCGTAAAATAGCAGCGTAATGCTGATGCTTTTCGTATGGTAAGTGTAGAATACCAGAGACCCTTTTATACTAGAAACGAGACATTCCATCTTAGTCCTCAGGGGAGACAACGCATCTGCGTGGATGCCTATGGGCCACAGCATTCACTTAGCATCAGGTGAACTGTGTGCTCGTTTATCACTCAATGCTATAAGAAAATCCATAGATTGCCTCATAGGAGGGATATTTACCATAGCTGCTACACTTGGTAGGCGAGTGCTATCGCTTTTTTCATTATTTTAAGTTGTACGCGTTTGTTCTAACGACATCCACAGGATGATATGGGGTGTTAGATCTTTTACAACATCGTTACCGTTACCATTACAGCTTATTAAAGTCCACTGCTGAACTTAGGTTCTCCCCATAGATTGTCTTATAGAGGGGATGTTTACCATAGTTGCCACGCACGGCAAGCGGTTTCAGTCGTTATTAGGAATACGCTGCTGCCCATCTCCTGGTTTGTTGCCTTCTGTCGCCTCTTACGAAACCCACAGGATGATATGGGGTAGTGGATATTTTTACACCATCACTAGACGGCAGTATATACAGACAAAAGTTATCACATATAATTCTTAACGCTAATAACAAATGCATTTAAAACAATTATATTCGTCTCTTTAATCAATGATTGTGTGTATCGTGTGATGCGGGTTGGAAAATACATAACACTATGTAATCAACATGAGTACATAAAGCTCATGCGATTCGCTTTGTTTTACGTCAATTTACGTTTTCGAAATTGTTATGTACAACACAAGCTGGCACCTGTGGCTTTACTCACGTGTGATTCAATCTGTAATGAAAAGAGTTCATATATTCCTAGTAGAAGTTTCATTCGTAAAAATAAAGTTTTTACTCACTACACTCAGTCCATTACAAGTCTACTGTAGAATTACTCTTCCATAGATTACCACAAAATACGGTTCTGATCCACCTGCGTCCATCGACTCGGTAAGTTTACTACGCAGTAATATATTATTTACCTTTTTTAATGTCTTTGAATATATATGACACATCTATCAAGAATTCAACAACTGATCGATATATGTTATAAAAGACACCGAAACTATATATCTACTTAATAAAATAGCTGACAGCAGCAGTGTATATAGAGAGCCCGTATGATTGCAGATTATTATTAGATTATACGTGGTGGAGTCACACTGCAGTTATATAGGTGTAGCACGAGTAAGTCAGCTCGATCGGGGAAGCATCACGCTCTCACAAAACACCACCGTAAAATGACAAGCTTAATGCTGCTGTATTTCATATGGTGAATGTAGGGAAACGTAAACCCATTTTAATGGAAACGAGGCATTCCATTTTAGTCTTCAGAGGTGACAGCGCATACAGATGCGTAGAAAAACTACAGAGTTTTCTGTTTGATGTTGTTTGCAGATAGCCACGGGCTGCAGAAGTAATTTGTAGAAAATCGTATTATTGGTCGTTATGCCTATGGCGAGTTTCTTAATGCAGAAGAGCATCGGCAAGTTAATAAGTAAAATTCGCAAAGTGTTGAACTAAGTATTTTGGAAAAATTTGCTACGATACGTGCAGATAACATAGCCATCTCCCAGTGTATATGAAACGAAAATCCATAAGAATGAGGATTGAAGTTAATCGAAAAAAATTAAAAAATAAATATCAAATTCGTTAATTCCTAGAAATAGAGCTACAGACCTTACCTTACCTTACTTATATTAAATTAATTTAAACCAATATTAAATTAAATTTAATTCTTAATACATATAAAAAAATTAACTGGCGGACCTCAAACTAGGCATAGTCTGTATCTTGGGGACCAGGAGTACGGTTATTAGTTTTACTGACGTGATTAAAAGTACCCAAATTTTCCAAAAGAACAAATTATTTCTTAATTTAGGAAGATAGTTTTTAAATATTTGTCGCTTATATGATTGTTTTTTATTTCTAGATAGAACATTGATACAATATTTTTAGTGTGATATATTATTTATGTATAAAATGGTAAAAAATCATACTTTTATGTCATTATAAAAGTTACAGTCTATGCCTCAATTCTGAGCACATGCCTCTTCTCATTTCTGAGATGGTTTTAGGACAGGAAACTGTCTGCCGCACTCTCCTAATGTAGTCGGCGGACTTCTTCATATTATGTCTAAATATACTTATTTTTTATTTTTGTAGATATGCAGATTTCATTGTAATGCTTTTTTCTGTCGAGCACGTGGTTAGTTAGAATTTAAAATAAAAATAAAAAATCATTGCTGTCGTTGGGGCTCGAACCTGAGTCGCTTGCTAATTGTGAAATTTACAGCGAGCTCTAAGCCCCTGACCTACCACCTCTGTATCACGAATAATTGTTAATTAGTTTTTAGATATCCTTAAATGTAAAATTTTGTTTTATTACAACATTAATATTCTAAGGAAAACCATAAATTTATTTATTTATTTAAAAACTTACATATAACACCTTAAGCTAAAGGGGTACATAGGGCGGTCTGCCAGTCAACCCTGGGTGCCAAGGACAATTGTTGGCAGGTGCGACCATTATACGTAAATAATTACATTAAAATATATACATACATATTATATATTTTTTTATACATATGCAAAGTACATACATACACATTACATTTAAATATACACACATATAGTATAAATATACATACAATAATACATACATACATATTTATTTAGTTTGAAATATGCTAATAACTCTAAATGAAATGGGTCCTTAACAAAGAAAGAAATAAGTAAATTAAATGTAAATGTAGCAGGTTCTAGCAAAGCGATAAATAAAGTTTTTGGATGTTTTAAAACAAAACATAGACAGCTTTTATTTAAGTGTATAGGATAATTGTTTTAAAATCAAAACTTAATTATTAACTTATCCTGGAGGTTTCCTCATTTACTCCATTTTGCCATTCATGGGTTTTTATTCAAGTTCAGAAAGATGCAGCTGTCAATCTCCTGTTTTAATTTCCCTCTGTCGCTTCATACGACATCCACGGGATATGTGGTAGTGGATATTCTAACACCGCAAACTACACAGCAGTTCTGAGTGAACGAGTATGAGTAATAAAATTCTTTTCTTTTTTGCAAACTGTGACAAAAATGTTTGCTGAATTTTCAATTTAATAAAATCGGTCAAGTGCTCACGGCTCAAAGGCTCAGCAGGCCTTTCCAACATAAATTATATTAGAAGTGGATTAAAACTAATGAGCACTTCGGAAAAATTATTAGAAATATAATTTAGATTTTATTTTAAATTTTTATAGACTGTGGGAGTTGTAGCTCAGGGATTAAGCGCTCACTGTAAATTTTACAGTTCACGAGCAACACGGGTTTGATCCCCGCCGGCACCAGTGAAATGGGTTTGATGCACCGGCAAAAGTGCCGATTTACCACGTGGTGTAGCCTATAGACATTTACATCTATCCTCGATTAAGAATCAAAAACAGATTGCATTGTCATCCCTGAAGACAAAGACGGAATACCTCATTTCCAATAAAATGTGTCCTCTTTACATCATACATAGGAGACATCTGGGAGATCGCGGTCCTACCCCGTTCGAGCCGACCCATTCGTGCTAGAACTACTTATATTTAATTAACTATAGCTGCAGCGTGATTCAACCACGTATAAATTGACTCTTTATAATATAAATCTTTATTTACTGAATACGCGGCATTCCATCTTAGTCTTCGGGGTGACAACTAGGGATGCCAGATGTCCGGTTTTCGACCGGACAGTCCGGTTTTCGTTATGCTTGTCCGGTCACAAAATTCTTGGTAAACCGGGCAATAGGTTGTCCGGTAGTAAAATAATTATTCATTATTTCTACCGAACAGCACGGGCGTTTCGTAGGACCGCGTCACGCCGTTGCTTGTCGCCGCCCGCGCTACCTCGCTTCGCCTCGCGGCCTGCCCCTGCCTCCCAGCACCACCCGTATCCTCGTACGGCGTGTCTCACTCACTCACTAATTCGTTGAAAGTGAGAAAAGCCGCGCTCGCTCCCAATAAAATATCAACGCTATTTTTACAACAAATATTTCCTGTTTTGCTCTTTTATTTGTGTTGTGTGTGGTTGGTTTTTAGAATAATATGGATGACAAGGAAGCATCGACTAGTGCTGTAACTCCACCGATGAAAGTGAGAAGAACTTGCTACTATGATGTTGACTGGAAATCGAGATTTTCTTGGTTACATAAATGTGACGAAGACAACACAAAGAGCTACTGCAAATTGTGTAAAACTACGTTGACAGTGACTTATGATGGCGTGAAAGCGTTAACACAGCACATTAACACAGCCTTGTCTCAGCGAATGAATACTTTCTTTACTCCAAAAGGCAGCGCGCGAAGTGAAAAAGTTAGCATTGCCGAATTGGCTGAAGTTTATCATAGTATCAAGTACCAAATTTTATATGTTGCTCAAGATTGCTCATTAAAAGTATTAAAACAAGTTATTACCGATTCAGAAATCGTGAACAAATGACCGGAGGACGCACTAAATGTATTGCTTTGATAAACCAAGTTTTATATCCATATTCAGTGGAACTTGTGCAAGAGGATTTGAAAAATCAAGTTCTGTTCTCCATCGCTACCGATGCTTCTAATAAAGGAACAGAAATTCTTTCCAGCTGCGATTCAATATTTTTTACCAAAAGACGGTATTTGTCATAAAATTTTGGACTATTACGAGGACTCATTCGAAGATTCACGATCTATTAAAGAAAAATTATGTCAAATGTTGGAAAATTCATATCTACCATAGAGTAGAGTAATAGCATATGGAGCGGACAATGCCTCTATTAATTTCGGACTTAATAATTCCGTTTTTCAAAAGATTAAGTCTGAAGAAAATTATGAAATAATAGCTGCTCACTGCAATGATCACATATTTCATAACAGCGCAAAAAATGCTTTGAAAATAATGCCTGTTGATGTCGAAAATATAGTAATGAAAGTATTTGCAGAATTTTCTTGTTCTGCAAAGAAACGGAGAAGAGTTGAAGGAGTGCTTTGATTTCTTCGAGAGCCAATACAAATATGTAATATGTCACGTAGGTACGTGACGTATTACATATTTGTCAAGGTGGCTCAGCTTGTTAAAAGCTCTCGAAAGGATGCTTTCGTCGTGGGGACCTTTGAAAAAATACTTCTTGGAGCAAGATTCTGACAACTGCCCAAGGGCTCTTTGGGCTATCTTATCATATCAAGAAGATGAAATTACAAGTGAGACAAACCCTCTCACAGTGAATTATATTTGTATTTCACTCATAATTTTAAAGCTTCTTTTCAAGAAATTTTACTGCTGTTAGAAAAACATACCATAACAGCATATAGTATGCATAACATAATGGTGAAATTTCGGGACACTATTATAAAGAAAATAAGTTGGAATGAAATTTGACATTTTGGAATGAAAGTGAATATGGCATTAAGAAAAGGCTACCTTTCAGATGATCAAGTAAAATAATTTACAACAAATGCTCTAAGTGTTTACCAAAGAGCATTAGCTTATATAGAGAAATGTATCCGTTCGATAATAACAATTTTTTTTTCTTTGTTTTTTTTTCTTTAAAAAACGTTACCCCTACACTAAGATTTTCTCTTGTATTGTGGGGGCAGTTTACAAACATAAATTGCACAAGGACGAATATCCAGACCCGGAACAACTACTTGTAGGCCATACAAATACTTGTTACGTGCGGGATTCGAACCCGCGACCCCCAGCGCAGCCACTCATTGCTAAGCCACTGCGCCACGGAGTCATCAAATATATAATTATAAGACTTAATTGTTTTAATATCAAAGCCGGAAGACTCCCTACGCTTTTTGCTTTTTTTTAAATTGATTGAGTTGTGGCCAATCAATTGATCCAGCGTGGAGATACCGTGGAAGCAAACTCCTCGTGAAAGCATTTACGAAGAACTAGCTGCACTTCAAAGTGTTTTCTCTTCACTTGAAGGGAATTCGATTAAAATGCGGTGCAAATTTTTTTTACAACGAAGCAGCGCCATATTTATTGAAAATTGTACAGTATGTGTGTAGTATTCCCATATGTAATGCTTTTGTGGAACGAATCTTCAGCGGGAAATTTATGGACCGATGTAAGAAATCGTCTCGTCATGCAAACTATAAAAAGTGAATTTTTGCGTTTGCTTTAATATAAATGTTAGTTGCACTGAATTTAAAGATGCCATCTCAGGCAGTAAGACTTTATTAAAAGCAGTTTGGTCGAGTTCTAAATATATAAAAAAGTAGAATTGCTGTAATTTTGTAAGTTTTCAGTACACAAAATACATTACAAAAGTTTATTTAAGTAATTTTTTTTTGTTTTAAAGCACATTTTTGTAAGAAATAAAAACGTCCGGTTTTTTCTTTCTTTGAACACATCTGGCATCCCTAGTGACAACGCATCTGCATTTTTATTCATAATCGAGGATAAATGTAAATGTCTGTGGGCCACAGCATCCACTTATCATCAGGTGGACTGTGTGCTCGTTTGTACCGTTATTCTATAAAAATAAAAATCTATCTAGTGATGGGAGCGTAAGAGAATCCATCAACCCATTTCGTTGCCAGGGTGTTTTGAGAATTAAAAAAAGTTAATAATATGAAAGTGAAGTGATACTTTGTTGTGTTTAAATGTTAAAGATTGTTTTTCCGTAAAGAGTCTACTGTTTGATTAAAATTCCTTAAAATTCCACTTAGTATTGAGCGGTGTTAAGTATCACACTGGATCAACCACGCATAAACTAACTCTTTATACAAATAATAAAATCAAGTAATATAAATATTTTTTTTTGAATACGAGACATTCCATTTTAGTCCTCAGGGGAGACAACGTATCTGCAATTTTATTCATAATCGATGATAAATGTAGATGTCTATGGGCCACAGCATCCACTTAGCTTAGCATCAGGTAGGCTGTGCGCTCAATATAATATGTACCCTTAATCTACAAAAATAACAAAAATTACTGAGTGATGGGAGCGTAAGAGAATCTATCAACCCATTTCGTTGCCTGGATGTTTTGAGAAGCGACTTATGGTAAATGCTAAAAAATCTTATGGCTTTGGGATGAAAGTATGTATAGGGATGATCACACCGACAAAGGTGTGAGACTCCAGTAGTGCTATCGCCAATCTACCTGTTAACTCATTAAAACAGAAAAGGCTCATGTACTACAGTAGACTTTTATGAGCTAATAAGGAAAATTTTCTCAATAAATGACTAGGCAATTCTTATACAACGAAGGCAAAGCTAAATATATAGCTTTGAACCTTAACAGGAAGAACACTATTATAGTGATCACCAACAATGTCATAAAATGTCGCAAACAGATGTGAATGTTTCATCATCATCACCCTCATTAAAGCTCTTGACAAGTTCACAGCTGAACTTAGGTCTCTCCCAAGATATTCCTTGTCAATGTCACAAAGCACGGTCGTAAGCCATCTGTATCCGTCGACTTCCGGCATCTCATCCAGGCCGTCACTCAATATTATAGTGTATTTATTTTATCATAATCGAAGTTCATGGAGCCAAATTAGCTTAAATCATACGCACGGCTAGCACCGCATATTGCTTTATTTAGAATTTTCTAATATTCCACCCGCCTCACCTTAACGATATTGGTGATTTCAGGGGCCAGTGTAGCGTGACTAATCCGCCGGGACTACGGATGGGGCGCTTAAATCCCATCCCTCGCCGTCAACGAAGAGCTTGTACGTCTAAACGAGGTTGCCGATTGTATAAATTATGTGTTAATGTGGGTGTAAATAGTGGATCGATAGGTTTTGCTCTAATTTAAATCGATCGATCGTGTAGTTTAGTGGTTGGAGTACATAATTACTTTGGTTGGTTCTAGGGTCGAAGCTACGCTGGGTTGAAATATGAACAAAAAACTAAGTTGTTAGTTTTATTAACTTCACTGTTTAATAACGTTGCAATAAGGTTTTGTCGTCTAATTTCATTTTGGAATAGAATGTCGGCTAAAAAAAAAAAAACAAAAACACTAAATAAAATGAAAAACCGAGGAATTTATTTAGTGATATTTTTTATTATAAGCATTTGTTTAAGCATGAGTGAAATGTTTGAGAACTCACCATCCAAATGTCCTATTTACAGGATTTTTGGAATTTTTGGTTAAAAGGCGCAGTAACGCAATAGTTAAGCGTTTGGTTACGGCGCTAAAAGCCGTGGGTTTGTTTTCCACACGGAAAGATTATTATTTATTTGGCCTATTAATAATTATTTCTGCTCGTCTCCTGCTTTATTTCTCTGTGTCACCTCCTACGACACCCACGGGATGCTATCCTTACACCATAGTAGTACAGTACGGTAGTAGTAGTACAATAAGATAGCGCAGTTTAAAGACAGTATACGTACTAGGGAGAAACTTTTACACCTCCCCAACATGGCAGAAACACTCTGCAAGCCTATAACTTCTTCATGTTGTCTATCTAATAAAACAACAAAGAATAAATGTTTATTTTTTTAATCCCCCTTCTCTATATTTAATAGTGTTTGTTAATTTATGAAGATTTTCAACTATATAAATTTAGCAATAAAATATGCAAATCTATATGACTAAACAAATTAAAAAAAATATATTATGTCGGGAACGAGTTCGCCAATATGCATCGGGCCGGCGCAGCGTGGTTATAGTGAACTTTTTTTTAAACCAGGAGACAGATTTATATGCAGGATTTTGATAAGTATACTCATTAAGGGGATATAGTAAGTTAACTCAAATTCTAATTTCGTCCCCACTTGCCCGCGCGTCGTATGCTTAAAACATGTCGTCTACCGACATGTTTGTAATCACTAATACTGTAAGTAGATAGGTCGTTAGATACTTATTTCATTAGGTTTATCATATTTATGCCTGTTTCTTAACGCCAAGCCAGTCGCTTCTTATTTTTATTACGGTTATTTCCCATTTTAATTTTACGTCGTCCTTTGTTGCGTAATGTATATTCTGATCGTAAGCGACACAACCTCCTCCTTCAAAGGCCGAAGCGAATTGACCGGGCGGCAGGAACCACGCTTCAAGAGGCCGATAGTTTAGGTAATTTCTTTTTACAGTGAAAATAATGATATTTTAAAAAAAGTAAATAGTAAAAAGTAAGCACTGCTTTATAGTTAGTTCAGTTAGCATTCAAAGTTTCATGATCTTATTTAAAGTATTTTATGAATAACAGCGGTTTATTGTTTATTTTGGAGGTAACTTTGGATTTTTTTTCTATCGAGAAAATTTTACGAAATCGTGTTTTCGTCTAACATAATCCTTAACATTAATCCTCAACTTTACCATATATTTATTTCAAAATTAATGCTGCAATATTTTCGGCATAACGAAGGATCTTGCCAAGCCATTTGAGATTATATTTCCCCTTAAAAAAGAATTTTTTGTGTATAATGATATATTTTCTTATTTTGATTTAAGTAATTGTTAATGATGAAGGAGTACACAGAATACCAGCG